GCAGCCTGATTCAGCACAGCTGATTGGTAGGTGGATCGGACTGCCAGAATACACCCAATCAGCTGTAAGGATTGCCACAGACCATGCCTGCATTCATGCCTCATGTTTTTGGCCTGTGGGGATGGGTGGCCTGTGGGGGTGGGTGGGGCTACATTCAGTATATAAGACGCACCCAATTTTTCACCCTTTGGGGCGGGGAGGGGGAAGATGTGTCCTATATTTCAAAAAGTATGGTAAATAATATACCGTACTAAAATAACCAAACAATTCATTTGCTGCTTTTTTCACTGCATATAGTCTTTTTTATGAATGGACTTTTTAAATAGTCTTTTTATCATTCTTTCTTCTGTTTAACACTCTATAGCAGAGGGTCTCAACCTTCCTAATGCTGCGACCCTTTAATACAGTTTCTCATGTTGTGGTGACCCACAACAATAACATTATTTTATGTTTTCCATATTTTTTCAAAAATATGTATTTTCTAAAGGTCTTAGGTGACCCCTGTGAAAGGGTCGTTCGACCCCCAAAGGGGTCCCAACCCGCAGGTTGAGAATCACTGCTCTATAGTCTGTAATGAGGACCCAGATTGTTGGGGGCAATATGCTGACTCTCTGTAAACCGCTTAGAGAGGGCTGAAAGCCCTATGAAGCGGTATATAAGTCTACTGCTATTGCTATTGCTATCTCCTTTATTCTTTTAGCATTTTTATGTTTTCTGTGCCACACTAATATCTCAATATTCATAGTATTCCTTCCTCATTACTAATTTTTACTTCAAGCTACAAAAAAGGCATACTTTACACCTGGACATCACTGAACGGACAGCAACAGAATACAGCATGATACATCTTGGAAAAGTCAGTTGAAGTAATGATATTTCCAACAGTAATGTGTGGTTTTGGAAACAAGACACACAGGAGAGAGGAAGAAAATAAATTTTACTGAACAATGGCTTTATAGATGGGAAATTATCACAGACTGCCAGAATAAATCAGTCTTGGATAAAATGAAAACTGACCACAGTAGTTCCTTCAAACAATGATCTTCAAGCAGAAACTCACATTAGGCATGCAATGAACAAATGATGGACTGGGGGAGGAACCAATTGTACTTCGCAAAAGTGAGTAATAGAAGGGATAGACAATGGATAAAGTGAATAGAAAAGATCAAGGAGATCACCAAATGTTTTTAAAAGAGCTATGAATTGTGATTACAGATAACTTAAGGTGGCAACCAAATGTCCATATAAGTATTGGGTCTGATTCAATGATACTTATCTAATTGTTGACTATAGATCCAAAAGAAATCACAGAAATTAATTTTAAAAATCCATAAATTGAAATAAATTATATTTACTATCACATTACACATGGCAATTTATAATGCATTATATTAATACTCATTCTTTAAACTTCTCATTTTTATCAAGCCAACAAATGATTTAAAGTCTTATTATTGTAATTTATGAAAATGGATAAGATCATATTGCTAGCAATCTATTTTACTTCCAATTTCTATCTATATTAAGGTACAATACAAAGAAGTAAATAACAGTTAAATACGATTTTACCATGTTTGCTTCATAAGAATCTTGAATCCATCTGGACAAGTAGAGGGTACAGGAAGATGCAAACTATTACTACCTACACCCCAGATGATGGCTGAAGAGTCTACATCTTTGTATGGAATTTCTCCAGTGAGGAGCTCCCACAAAACCACTCCAAATGACCTGATAAAAATAGGGGAAAACAATATTAAAATCAGGAAAATTGTTGAAATTTTATTTATGGTCAATAACCAACTAAGTAGACCCAAAGGTTATTTTTCAAAAGGCAACTAGACTTTCTTTGTTTTGCCTTTTGCCTTTTTCAAAAATACCTTGGGACAACCATGACCTGGATTACTGAGAAACTCCATAAATAACCAGCAAATAACACTGGAACAACATATAAAAACAGATTCAAATACAATAAAAAGAAATAAGGCTTAAGGACCCTGCTAATTAAAATTTACATAGTGCAGAAAAATATCAAAATGAAAACTTAATAAATAAAATTAAATCTGCCAGCAACAACAAAACATGGAAACACAAAGTAATATGTTTTAATAGAAATACTGAAATAGGTGAGTAGTTAGAATAGTATTACTTGCCATATATCTACTTTTTCAGAAACAGGTTCATTACGAATCACTTCTGGGGCCATCCAAGCGACTGTTCCAGCAAAGGACATTTTTGTACTCTTATCGCTGAGTTCTTTAGAAGTACCAAAATCAGAAATTTTCATCGTATCATTGTGGGTAACTAATACACTGAAAAGAATAAAATACACAGGAAATCAGAGATTCATAGTAATTCCACCCTTATTTCAATTTCAATTTCCTTTATCTCCTCATATTGTATAAACTCTGTCAACTCACTTGGGTGACTTGAGATCTCTGTGGATAATTTTATGGAGATGTAAATAATTCATTCCGCTAGCAATTCCAGTGGACCAGTCCACAAGCAAACGAGGTGTTACCTTTCTACCTGCTCGCAACACTTCATACAATTGTCCATGTGCACAGTATTCCATTATTATACAGTAGCAGGGAGCCTGTGTGCAAACGCCCCTAGGACAAAGAAGAACAATAGATGTTTTTAAAAAATCAAAATCAAAGCAATGGGGAATTAAGAAAGAAATTAGTAAAGAGAAGTTTCCGATTCACATTTCTACAGAATAATGAAGAGTACTTCCTAAGAAACCACTATTGCTTATTTATGTGCCATTTGGTCAAATTAGACCTGGTATATGAAGAAAATTAAAAAGTAAACAGTACATGATTTCCCCAGAGAACAGATTACATACATCCTTGAAGTATATGAAATTGTACCGACAGCAATGACATTTTGATGTGAAGACAGAAAGAAAAAAAAAAAGTTCATTATAATGAAAGATCCAAAGATTTCCCCAAAACACAGACATTTATTATTGTTCCTGGCTAGAAGTGTTCAAAATATTTCAAAAATTGAAATTGATTATATCAAGATCAGAACTGTTTGAGAAACATCGGAACATTTCTGATGACGTTTGAATGTCAAAGTTTCAAGGTTGGGACATTTTCATTTCAAAAAGCTTTCTGCATTTCTATTCATGATTAATAGCCTTTTAGTGACTATTATTTATACAACTATAATATTTCTCTAAGAGATTTCATTATTTTTGCTCTTTTCACCAATAATAGATTATTGTTTGTAATTGAAAGAACTCATGCATATGCTATTACAAACCACTTTCTTACTGCATCAAAAAATCCACTTACAACAAAAGTAGTAATTCTATTGTATTACCAGATAATACTTTTTCCATTAAGAACTAAAATTCAAGAGATAAAGGAAACTTCAGTATTGTACTCCGATTGGCTTTAATCAAGCTATGAAGACTTACAGCATCAGTTTGAAAAGGTAACTCTAGAATCAGAATAATGCATGTACAACCCACTTGAAAGCAATGATGTTTGGATGTTTCAGTTTCCTCAGGTGTTTGATATCAGTTTCACTCTGCTCTCTCACTTTCTTGATGGCCACTTCCTCTGTACGAAATTTGCCTAAGAAAACAGCTCCTTGTGCTCCACTGCCCAACCACTGCAGTTCAGATATCTCTTCAAAAGGAACCTCCCATGTATCTGATAATAAACAAGCAGTTATTATAATTGCAACTAACTGCCTAATGACAAACAACAAAATAATAGCTCATTTGGTATAGTGGCAGTTTGCAGGCTTTTTAAGAACATGCAAAATATATGCATCTTCAAAAGATTTTACTTCCTATATAACAATAAATGTATAGTTGAATTCTAAAATGTGAATATTTGCTTGTTCTAATTCCATATATTAAATCTGGGGTGTTTTACTTATATATATATGCCTCCATCAGCAGCAAGGTTTATTAGATAGAAATCAAGAGAGTCTCTTCTTTCCCCAAACCACAAAGCTTGAATTAGAAGACTATCCTAACTAGTAAAAGAGAAGTCAATTGTGACTGAAATCCAGTTAAATCTTCAATATGTATTTTTTTATTTTCATTGGGGGGGGTGTTAGTTAGAACAATGGGGTACTATTTATAGTTTGGTTTTTGTGACAGATATGTCACCTATGTCAAGAGGGAATTTCTTAGTCACTGTGGTCAACTGCAATAGATTTTTTTCCCTGAGTATTTATGAGGCAAGCAATGTCCAACACAGCATATACTGAATCTCCATGACTTGTTCTCCATAATGGACTTTAATTTGGAGAAGGACACAGAAGACCCAACTGCTTTAATGAAGATGGGCAGTAAATTACAGGGAAAACCTGATTTCTAATTTACCTTTGATTCTGAAGAAGAGGGCCTTAAGCAGCTGGCCCAGGAAATAGTTTCCATTCATTTCAAAGCTATGATTACTATTCCAACCTTTGCATTAAGCTTTTTAAAATAAATACAGAATAATTTCTGAGTAAAGTTACTTTATGTTCCATTAATCTATTTATTTTATCTTAACTACATTAAAAGATGCTTTGACTTAGAGAAGCTTGTATGATATGATGTATTCTTACATTATTACTTATCTCAGCGATAACAAAAATGTCAAAGCTAGGGGAGACTATTATTTGAATGGAGTGATTCCTGACAATTATTAGTACTCAGACCAAAAAAGACAAACCAATACTGAATAACTAGATTAACACAAAATATATCATAGATAAGAATATCTGTCATTCTTGGAAACATCTAAAAATAAAATGTGTATGATAAAATTACATATAAACATAAAATGACACATGCTTCTTTTCATAATTCTGACTTTAAGGTGTCTGCAAATTAACAAAGCTCTAGAGAACACAATCCCTTTGCCGTGAAGCTTTTGGAAGGGGCCGGGATGGAGGAATAATAATAATTTATTTATATAGTTTACCTTGTTGTTGTAGTTTGTAGTCAGTAGAATAGGCTTTTCCTATAATATTCCATACTGGCTTTAAGCAGCCGAAAAGTCCCTCAAGAAAGCCACCATTTCCACTTCCTGTTCTGTTAAATTGTATTTTGATGTCTTCAGTTGCATGATTGTTCTGTCCACTTATATTGTTATCGTTGCCCTGATGAACAGTAGTTTCTAAATCATCTTGTTCAGTAAACTGGAGCACACTATTTTCAAATTGGTCCCTGGAATCTTCACTTACACTGGTTAATACTGTTGTGGGCACTGGGCTATTTATATTATCTGATGCATTGTTGTGAGGTAGCTCCCCTTCTCTTCCCTCTTCTATGTCTTCAGATGAAGGATGGACACCAGAGGATATACATTCCCCATGCATCTCATTGAAGCTTTTATCTTCATTGGGACTCTTATTGATAATCGCTGTAGAGGAAGACCAGCTCAGGAGCTCCTGAGAACTGGTCATTGTATTGTGGGTATGCATGTGTATGGAGCAAATAGTCAGATATATTGTTTTACGAGAAATGAATGTTCATCCATAGTGCTGAAAGTGGCCACAGCACCTGTAACAAAACCAAGGAACAGATTACAAGAATCATACAATCAGGGAGCACATCTGGGGAGGACACTGCAAGCTGAACTTCCTCCAAGGAGCAAGGATGGGACTGCAACCTTTTATGAATCTGGCTAACTTCCTTCAATGTGGCCATCTTATAAAACGGAGACCCAGAAACAAGGCAGGACAGTGTAAGTAACATGTGTAAGAAATAACTTTATGATACAGTGAGGTCCTAAAGACTACGCTTAGAACATGCATTTTTTGGCTTGCCCACAAGTTTAAGAATTAGCATTAAGGGTTTTCTTAATAAGCAATGATTTTATTATTTACTAACTTGCTTGGCTTTTTATCACACTCCAACCCATTCATTTATCAGCAGGTTAGAACATGAACTAAATTATGCTAACTTAGTTTTGTTATGATTACTGCCAATATTTTAAAAGAGATATCTGGTTAATGTACCATTTATGTATTATAGGGCATATTTCTGCCCTTCCATCTTTTAGAAGAAGGTTAAAGACTTCAGCTGACCTTGTGACTTTTGCCATCTTGTATTCTTATGTTTATTCTTTGCCTATTTTGTTTTTGTGATTGTTAAGATGATTCTTGGTTTATGATTTTGACTTCTAAATGTATCATGGATTTTAATTAATTGTCAATATCATAGAAACTATTAAGAGTTCTTGGATTGTGGAAGTAATACTTTAATAAATACCGTAAATAATAATTGATTACTGTACCTTAGTTTGATATACAGGGTTTAAGCTTCAAAACTAAATCAAGTTTCAAAAGTATCCTCTTTATTATAGCTGAAGAAGCTAGTTTTAGCCTAAAATTAACATATAACATCAAAATGTTTTTCATCAAAACCATAAATTTAAATTAATTTTATGACAACTTGGGATGGCATTTCACATCAGTTCCTCACAGCAGAGTATGCTGAGTAGGTGCATATTAACCAATTGGGATGGAAGAAAGAAACAGTAATATCAGGTGCTTAGGAGAACATACCTCAGCTTGAAGATAAGTTAATTTCTCAAAACACTACAAACAATCAGTTTTTATATTATTGTCTTCTGTTCTAGATACAGTATTGAAAAGACAGTCTTACTAATATTTTCAGAGCAAAAAATGCAGGAAAATACTTAAGGACAAAGGGCAGCTAGAATTATTCCCTTTAAAGTAGCTATCTGACATTGCTTCTTCCATTTCTATATAGTATCTATACATTTTTATACACTACTGTGGAGCATATTCTTCATGGGTTGCCAATTGATGCCCCCTTCTTTTCAGGGATTATTCACAATGAATTATTACTGACCTCAGTAGCTCCTACTATAAAAAATTCCCAGAAGGGGCACCACATACTGCCCATCAATAAACAGAAACAGATTGGAATTATATATGAGATACAATGCTAGAGCCTTTGAAAACAACGGGAACTGACAACATATTGAGATTTAGAATTTGTTTTTTTTCAAAGCTAATGGTATAATGCAAAATATCTGCTGTTAAAAAGAGCTGCTTGCATATGAATGAACAATCTAGCCATTAACCAAAATAGTTAAAAATCAGTTTGTTTATAGAAATGAAACATCTTAAGAAATAAATGTGTAACCGACAAATAAAACGAGTAGCATGCTTTTTCCTTCCATCCAAAACATACTGCTAAAACTGTTAATAATGTTAGATTTTAAACTGTATTAAAAGGATTCTGAAGCCATTTCACCAGACAATCAGATTACATTTTCACAAAGGAAAGGAGGGAGAGGGGAGGGGGGGTAGCCTGCTGTTCTGAAATGGATTGCAGTTATTTCTCTTGATATTTTCGTGATGCCCTGCATGTCAGCTAATTGATAAAATTCATTCTGTTCTGTTTTAGAAATGGATAAAGATCTCTGCATAATGTGCCAAATTGCAAATTCAATATGTCTATAATAGCTCCACAGAGAAGTAAAATACAGACTGCTGCCCAATACAAAAATATTCTCAGCTTTAATATGTCTTCCAACATTTTTTCTATTGAACCGACAGACAAATCTATCCCATCTTTTGAAATGAACGATTAAGACATAATATAGGTTCTTCTGCAAACACAGATCTTGAAGCAAGACAAGATTTTTACCAATATACTTACAGTGACAGGAACATTATACAACTATGCTCCATGTCCTCATTTTATGGAGAGTTGGCAAAAGACAAACCTGCTCAATAAAAGACAGAAAGGAAATTCCACCCACACAATCCTGCAACCCCACTGCAAGCACAGAAGCTACTAACGTCACAGATTCATGAATGGATGCCTACGAGGCTGTTTTAGGTCTCCGAACAAACCCTGCGGTGGTGTGTGCTCTGGAAGGGGAGGGAAACAGAGGAGCAGCCAATCAAAGGCAGTCAACTATAGCTTGCCTTTCTTCAGAGGAACCTCATCACAGAATGGACAGTCACCACCAATCAAACCCAGGCAACAGAGTCTCAAAGGGTTATCAAATAAACCCTGCCAGCTGGAAGGGGTGCAGAGCAAATAGAAACAGATGACAACATAAACAATTCTAAGGTACAAAGGCAACATATGGAAAGCATAGAATTGTTGTTACGAAGCTGTAAAACAGAAAAGCTCTATATCTCCACTATATAGTGAGAATAAAAAATAAACTTTCTTAAATAGGCTTTGTTCACCACCTAATGTATATTTTGTTCATCATTAATCTGTGTGTGTGTGTGTGTGTGTATCAATCAGAGGTGGGTTCCTGCCAGTTCTAACCTCTTCTGTAGAAGAGGTTCCACAAATCTACTGTGCCATTTAGAACCGGTTCCAGCTCTCTCCCCCCGCCTGTCCGCACCATGATTGCCCCACCCGCCGCTCACTGATTGGCTGGCTTACCAATCGCCCCGCCCGCCTCTAAGAGTTCTATCTAAACCTTAAAGTCTTAAAGCTGTTAAGTTTGAAAATCCCTGGGTTTTTTTTTCTAAAGGGTTAGGGGTGCAAGGGTCTTGTAACTTGACAGCTTTAAGACTTGAGTGCTTCAAAGCCAGAGTTTCTGAGCCAACATTCTGGTTGCTAAGCAAGAGCGTTGTTAAGTGAGTTTCACCACATTTTACAAGTTGGGCACACCCACCCAGTCACATGACTGCCAAGCCACTCCCACTCGGCCACATGGCCAGCAAACCACTTCCACAAAGCAGGCCACACCTACAGAAGAGGTTCTAAAAAAATTTGCAACCCACAACTGGCATCAATATATCATTATATTTATTTATCAGGAACACTCTTCATTTTGTTTTAAAATAGCATATATCACCCATGAAACATAGTTAATAGTTTTAAAATATGTATAGATTAGATGTTTATATAAAAGCATATTTTTGTTCTTGCACGGCAGAGCCTTCCAATTTAATGTCTAGTTCAGATAAAGATAGAAGAAAACTATTGTTTTCTTCAATGCCAGTTCCTCCGAAACCACAAATAGTGTTTGAAAACTTCATTACAGTTTTTGCATCTGATGTGTATGTCTGTGCCTCTGTGTATTACATAATTACATAATTTTCACATTCCTCTATGACAATAGTTTTGTACAAAATTAGCATTCAGAGTTTAAATAGTAACATGCATACTGCAATAGTATATACATTTATACAACCAATCCTTAATTTAATATTGGGTGCTCCTACACAGCAGGAAAAAATATGGAAAAAGTGGTGGGAAAGAAGAGGAAGGTTACAAACATAATATTTCATTCATGAGGGCGAATTGCCCTATTAAAATTTTATTTGAGGTATTCACTGCTTTTCAGAAATATACCAATACCACTACTTCTTATTTCAGATCTACTTGAGTGCCTCCATTTTCACTAAGTTAGATTTTAGAAGCACATTAAATGAATGAATGGAAGCAGATCACAAGTATTTAACAACTTTTGATACCAAGCATGGAAAATTTTAATATACAAAAATGCTATTTAGACTAATAATCCTACAATCTTCTCCAGGTTTATAAAGGAATTTTTTGCTTATAACTTGGGTGAAGTGATGTACTTGACTATATCCTGATTATTTTTTTTCCAGAAAGCCTATCTTTACATGACACTGTAGGAAGTTATCACCCAGCCCTCTCCCAGAAAAATGAAATATCCTAGGAAATATTGAAAAGGCAGAATATTACATTTCCCTGGATGTGAAAAGGAAGAAACATGTTTTAAAAACAGAGTAGCTCCCTGCAGCTTCCTGCCCCCACCACCCTTTGTCAATGGGCCATTAAGATGTCCAAGACAGTCCCTTTACATAATAAAGAGTT